ACGTCACACATCCCAACCTTGATGCAAATGAGCACCTCCACTCGTACCCAGGCTGATGGGCAAAGTGAGGGAAGCACACGCTCCACACCCACCGACATGCACGGGTCAGTTCTCAGCACGACCCACACACTTCTTACACGTAACACAGCCCATGCATCTGTCCCATCAGGCTCTGCTCCCATTTTCCAAAACAGGGTCCCACATCCGTCTCCAAGCACCTCGTTGTTCTGAGGAGACACAACAGTGTCTCCATTTCAGAGGGAAAGCCAGGCTACGCGGCCATGGTCCTAACTGGGAGCGAGGCACTCAATGCACCATGAAAATGGCAGCCGTATCAGGGAGCCTGGGGAGGGCCGACCTTCTCGCAAGACTCAACAACTGTGCGAGGCCACACAGACGGCTAGCTCGACGCAGCTCAGTGTCAGTGACATCCCATTTCTGTGCAGCTGGGTTCCACAAGATGCTGTGTTACACAGCAGGACAATCGTGCGGACCAGGAGATTCCAGGGCCTCGAGAGCAGTACAGCACCATGTCATGTGTGCAGGGCCTCAAATGGCCAGTAAGTTATTAAGACGTAAATACTTCTCAGGCTGCTGCAATCTAATGACTTAATAAACAGAACTCGGAGGTTTTGGCCTCAGTGAAAAGCTGACTGAGACACTAAGCCTGTGGAAGCTGTGGGCTGAAAGGGGAATGCTGGGAAATCTGCTCGGAAACAGTGGAAGTGCCTCAGTTCCGCCTGACCTGCCCTCTCAACTCCGTCCGAACCAGTTGTCACCCTTCTCCTAGGGTCACAGGGAGAGCTAAGTCTCCTATTCGAAACTCACCCTACGCTTCTCAGTCACCCATTGTCCCTCCGGATGGGGACCTCTGAAGATGGATTATTGCAGCAATGCTCAATTCCTGTGTGTAAGTGACAAAGAGGAAAGCGTCCTTGTTTTTAGGGGACGTATACGTAAAGTATTTGGAGGTGAAGTAGGAATATGATGTCTGCAACTTACTTTAACTGGTCAGAAATGGCAGGGATGGTGGGGTGAGAGCTGGGAAATTTTACCAGCTGGTAAATCCAGGTAAAGCGTTCATGGTCTTCCAGTATTCATTGTACCCTTTTTACAAGTGTGACATTTTTCAAAATAAAAAACTTAGAGGGATATGCTATCACTATATATTGTGATGGCAACCATCAAAAGGTGATTTTATTTTATTTTTTATTTTTTTAGCTGAGCCATCCTGCCACCTGTTGGCAGCTCAGTGGCTGCTCAGCTCGGGCCAGACTCGAACTGCTATTGCTCAGAGCTCAAACTCTTAAGCGAGTTCTTAACCAACTGAGCCACTCGGCCAGCCCAAGGTGATTTTATTTTAAATGACCCATGTGGTACTAGAAATCAAAGCAAAACAAAACAAAATCTTAGGACACAATTGTAATTTGTAGATGAGGTTGTATAACTGAAAACCCAAAGAAAACCTGGTAGGATGGCAGGCTACAAAACTAATATACAAAAATACACTGCTTTCCTCCAGTCCAATAACAAATAATATATAACTGAAAGACCTCCCTCCAGAATGATATTAATAAAAATCTTAAAACATTTAAGAATAAATTTAAATAATGTACTGAATTCATAAGAACAAAACATTACTGAGTGATGTTTTGACAATATCAATTTTGTAAACATGTTCAACTCTCCCCAGGAACAATCTAAAAATTCAGTGCAATCAAAATAAAAACACGAACTGAAGTTTAAGTAGGCAAAACTCTACAGTTCACATTCATACAGCAGGAAAGGAAAGTCAGAAGCATACAACCATTTGCTTAGCAGTACAAAGAGAAGCTCAGCAGACAAACCAGAAAAACGAGAAGGTGCTTGGCCTCCTGCCGCAGGCAAGGCCCAGGGAGCCGGTGGGGTGTCTTCTCTGAGCGAGTCTGGTTTGTAGCGTTCTGTCTTCTAAGAATGAACTAATATCCAAACAGCCATAACCCAGCCGCCCATTTTGCAATCGCTCCTCCGCTTTGGGCTGCCTTGGAGATCACACTGAGCTTCCCCTAGCTGCGGGCTGCGGTTCGGGAGGATGGGACAGGGGAGGCCTGACATAGCAAGCCGACTGCATCAACGGCCTGCGCGCACTTCAAACCCTGTCCTGCGTGGTGTGGGCCATGCAGCCACACCGTGAAGGAATTTCGGAGGAATACAGGATGGAGCAAAGGGCTGAAGGAACGCGCTGCCACTGTTGAGAGCTCGGGTCCTCACTGTGCAGGATGGGACATGCACATCCAAACTGGGGAGGCATGCAGGAGCCCCAGGGTGGGCTAGGATTGGAGGTGTCAGTGTGACCTCGGGGTTTCTAGAAAGGGTGTGTGTCCTGCACTGTGTGTGCACTGCCCTAGAAGACACGGTGGGTTTAAAAAAATCACTGTTGACTTGGGAGTATGTCTAAGCACATCACTAAGACCAGGATCTGGATGTGAATACATTGAAAATTCGAGTACTTAACAATTTAAAGACTTACTGCCAAGACAAATAAAAAGCCAGGGATCAGAAAAGACTTCTATCACACGGGGCAGAAAAGCTAGCTTCCGTGTGTGTAGATAGCTGGCACAAATCTACAAGAATGGACCAATAATCCCAACCCACTCCCTCCAAATAAGGAAAGAAAATGAAACCACAGAAAACCTACTAATGGCTAAATAAAATGGAAAGATGTAAACATCACTCATAATTAAGGAAACACAAATAAAAACAACAAAAACATACCATCTTAAAAGTACCAGATTAGAAAAGACAAGTCTTATAACACAGATACTGAGAATGGCATGAAGAAAAGGGCATTTTCATACACTATTGGCTGGAGTATAAATTGATCAAACCTCTTTGAAAACCATTTGACAATATCTATCTTTATTTATCAATATCTATCAAAATTCTAACTTTACATCTGCTTTCACCCAGCAGGGCCACTTCTAGAACCAGACCGTTCTTTGTGGGGAGGCGGGAGGGGAACTGAGGGATGTTTCAATGCATCCCTGGCCTCTAGTCCCCAGACGCCACCTCATCCCCTTCCCGCAGTAATGACCACCACCAGCATGTCCTCCGGGGTTCCAAGTCGCCTGCCGTGAGACCCACTGCACTGGCCCACGTGCCAAACACTAAGGACATTTGCTCACTGGGGCTTTGTTTGTAGATAAAAACAACCCGTGTGTCTGCGCAGAGACTGTTGACCATGACACAGCCGTACACAATGTGAAACCGTGTGGCTGTTACAAGAAGACCGCTCTCTGATGAATAGGTGTGTAACAACTCCTAAGACACAGGTAACTGAAGAAGAAAGGCACAGATGACCCGGCTGTCTCGGTGGGGTGCAGAGGAGGCGGATATGCAGAGTCCCCCTGAAAGGCTATTTAAGGAAAGCCACTAGAAGTTGCTTCCAGGGGACTGGAGTCGGCTGATGGAGATCTAACCCCTCCCTCCCTACACCCTTCACTACTGTGTGACGCCTTACTGCGTGCGTGCAGTACTTATTCCAGCATACCATGACATGCCAGCATTGAATGCAAACACTTTGTTCTAAAAGCAAAGCCGCAGCCACTTCTGAACAGCACTGGAGCTAAGGGATGACACGGCTCACACTGCCGGGACATAACATGACGTTCTATAAAGAGCTGGGGAAACAGATTTTGTGAATTCCATAAATCCAGCCATAGGAATCTATCCTAATGACATAATTAGATATATACTAAGATGCAGTATTTGCAATATTGAAAAGGCACCAACAACTCAAAGTTCAAATAATAAAGGAAATTATTAACTACCATTATGCTATGTCCACATGCTGAAGATGGTAACAAAGTAGCGGAAAACTGACATGGGGAAAAAACTCATGAGGTGGCATATGCAAAGGGGAAGGATACAGTTACAATATGTGCTAGGAAAAGGCAGGTTACAAAACCGCCTGTCCAGTGGCCTAGCTTTTTTTGTATTAAAAACTATTTTTAAACACATAAATGATCATGGATAGCACGTATAGCATAGCAAAAAACAACTTTTGAGAGACTCTACAACTGGTGTGGTTACTGGTTCTTTCAATGATGTTACTTTTGTTAATCTTTACTTTCTAACTTCTCCCAAAATAAACATGCATTACTTACATAATAACATTTAAAAAGATAAAAATATTTTATATTAAAAATGAAAAACATGTATAAAAATACACAAACCTATATAGAAAGTGTGAACTCAATTTTTAGGATTCAAATTTTACATGTGCAATTTAAATACTGTATTTATTTTTTGTCTCAGGAGAAGACTACACCAAATCGTTATGTGTAATCAAACCTTGATGGTAGAATTAGAGGTGACTTTTGTGTTTTCCTTCTTACCTTTTGAATTTTCCTAATTTTCTATAATAATAATCGGGGTGGGATGAATTTTCAAAGCAAGTCATTTATACTTTAAATTTGGCCCTTGCACCCCAGCAACAGGGAGGCGTCTTTCTCACACGTCCCCAGTGCCACCCTGTCCCCCTCAGAGCTGTGCCGAGGCTATGCCTGGGCCCTTTCAGGGCAGTTCACCTGTGTGTGAGCTGCTTTGCGTCTCATGAATTTGTTCTCTTCTCCCAAATGCCCACATGGCAGGGGGTCCAGGAGCCAAGCAAGCAGATTCTGCCATCTTCAGGGGCAGAAATTTATAATACTTTTGACCTCTACAGATTCTTACAAAATTATTTTCTGTTAAAAAAAAGGGGGTGGGGCTCTTCTAACCACGGTAGACATATTTTGATCCTCCAAATACACTACCCATGAAAATGTCTGTACCCTAATTAATATGGCTGGAAAATAAAATATTTCATCAGTGACCTGGAGATTAGCCAAGACAAATTTCATGGTAATGAATTCCTTGAGATCTATAGGACTGGCTTTTTAAACTAGCTGGTACCTAACATCATCCTAATGGTTAGATGCATTTTAAAAATCCTGTAACAGAATGCAGGTTGAAATAATTACCTCTTCCTTCTCGTGCAGCATAATGTGCGCTTTGAGACTGGCCACCCGGGAGAATTTCTTGTTACACACAGGACAGGTGGGGTCTTCCCCATTGTGAGTACACTTATGAAGGGTCAGGTTGAATTCAACGTTAAACGTTTGCGGGCACTGGTCACATCGATGTGGCTATTGGGAGAGAAAAGTGAAGAAGCCACTGAAAGACAATCTTTCCACGGTGAAAGTCACTCAAATATTAACAAGGACCAGAGTCCACAATCATCCCTGGGCACTTTGACGTCTGTCCTGGACCTCCAGTCAGTAGCTCCGAAACCCACACACAAAGCTCCTTGAGGATGTCTCCAGGGACCGTCAGGACGACCTCACATCTATGCAGGAAAAACTGCACAGGACAGGCTGCGTGCAAAAGTGTCAGGACGCAGACTATGGAAACAAACATGAGACTTCAACTCATAGGGTGCGATTTCCCCTTTTCTGACCATCCTCTGCTGTACACAGACTCACGTCAAGTAAAATAAGTGATTGTGAACATGTGACTATGAACAGAGTTGCTGAGGTCGCGCTGACATACTCCCCAAATGGAAGGTGCTCTGTCACTTCCTTGCAGAGATAATCCCTGGCAGTTACTGCTGTCCTAGCGAGGAGGAAGGCGGCTTTTCAGATTTCAGCCTGGGAGGGGACGCCAGTGGGAGCCGCTGTGAGCATGTATTATCACGCTCACTGGAAGGAGAGTGCAGAGGGTCGAGTCCTGGTCTCCAGACAAGAGCTCCCTAGTGATGTTCGGGCCTCAGATGGCTCACCTTCCTAGAGGAAAGCCGGCGACCACTTTTTAATTGGGGTTCCAACTGCCACTTTCCATCTATCGGGCAAATCATCCCATCAAGGCACTAACATTCCCCCGTCTCCCCAGGGTGCACTGCAAAAAAGGTGCACCTCTACCTGAGGCCGCCCTGCTCACTGCTGAGACACAGTGAACACACTCAGAAGAGCACTGATGGCGCCAGTGCCCCGCTGGAGAGAATAACACCAAGAGAGGCCAACTCTGTGCGGAGTCACACAGAAATCGGAACTACTGAACACGGGCAGATTTGAAGATTATTTCTTTCTCCATTCTAAATAACCTCAATACGTAGGCTCACGACACACGCTCTCACTTTCTCTCATTACCTAACAATAGCTCACAATACAATTACAACGAAAAACAAAATGCCACAATATTTATTTATGTGACCTAAAATGCTCCACAGTTTAGGAATCTAAATTACAGGGAAACATCGTCTCTTGCACATGGACTGCACAGCACCTGTGGTGTCATTGCTCACAGCTGACACCCTGTTAAGCATACGTACCTTGTCATTTCGCTCATGATCCCTCATGTGGCGTTGAAACTGGGACTCTTTTGGAAAAGACAGCAGACAGATTTCACATTTGTGGAAGTTTGGGACTTGGTACACATAATTAGTGTTGTCCGCGTTCAATGTTAAAACTCCATCTATAAAATTGTATAAGTACAGACAATAAATACCAGTGGTTATTCTCATCGCATAAATAAAACCAAATTATTTGGTTATTGTTTAGAAACCAAATCATGTTAGAGATTTATGAGAGATTTTAGATGAAGTGAATGGTATCTGAAATTGTTTAAATGGATATGCTCGTAAGTTGGAAACGAGAAACGTCGAAATGAGTGAGACGCAGAACAGAGAATCCTGAATCCCTCTTAGTGGGACTGGCAGGGACCTGGAACTCACTCCTGCAGCTGGATACGCACATTCACACAAAGGCCTTGATGTTCTTAACCTGCCAGCTGGTTGCTGTCATTTCAAGGTCACTACAAACCCTGGAGGCGGTCCCCCTACGTCACTTGGGGTTCATCAGGAATCCACACAGGCGCCTAAATCACTCAGTAAACAAAGTGTAAAAGCTACCTCACTGATCCAATCTAGTGTGGAAAGTGCTGCAGAGCAAGCGTCGGTGGAAAAGAGAAAGACTGCGTTCTCCCAGGGAGCTGAGGGAGAAGGTGGCTTCAAGGCTTTGGATAAACCTCGGGTCTCACACTGGGCGTGCATATACCCATGTAGGTAAGTGGCTAACACTTAAAAGCACCTTCAAATAAGAATAACAGTGTAATAATCGCAAAAATTTGTCTAGAATGTCATAAAATAAAGATGCCCGAAATCTCTACAATTCTTTAAAATAATTTGGGCATGAATATATAACATACTAACATACAAAGATTAGAAATATGTCACATACGACTCTCTGTTCAAATGTCACGCAGAACATTATAACTCAGAAATGTGGAAATAGGGTAGGGTTAATTTTAAGACTCAAGAAAGTTTCTATTTCTCAGACACAGCCGTGTGCTAGTAATGAGAAGCCAGGTATTCCAAATTTCTAGACCTTTCCATCCCTCTTGGGGAAACAGCCTGCAGTTCCCAGTCCAGCCTGCAGCCCTCTGCGCCCACAGTACAACCTGGTCAGAGCAGGAACTGACCCCACAGGATGGGAAGGGGTGGAGCAGGCACTGGAGACAGCTGGCAACAGCTTCAAAAATCCTTCTGGCACATTTGCCAGTAAAGCAAACTCCAGTTTTGAAAATACTAATGTAATTCAAAAGACTGCAGCTTCATTCATAAGATGGGCCTAAGGAAAAGATACACATACTTTTTATTCTATTTATTCTGAACTATATCCACATACTATTCAAAGACCATGCTTTCAGAGTTCCTGCATTAAACTAATAATGAAATGTTTTATGACTCCCCAGGCCCAAATAAAATGATTGTTGGGACCAATTCAATTGATGTATTATGATTCCCTTTGGAAAACTTTTTACTATGGTAAGAAATAGTTTAGAGGTTAGGAAGGCACAAGTAAGATGTCTGTTGAAAACTGTGTTTCAAGAACTCAGCAGCAAGTGTTTTAACCTGACGGTTGAATGCAGTAATAAAAGAGTACCTCAAATTAACTTCTAAAATGCAAAATTAAAAAGCTATTTCAGTATGCAGAATGAAACAATTTTCATAGCCTCTATGCTGAAACTACTAATGTGTTACCCAAAAATAAGAAGGGATTTAATTAACTGCAAGTGATAAATAAAACCCGAAGAGACAGAAACTATACATTTAAAACTGAAAAATGACATTGTTTTGCTTATGAATTAAGACTTTTCCAAAAAACGTTTTCTATCTTAAGGAAGAAGATTTCTCTCCTTAACAAAGTTCAAAACATAATAAAATTATTTTCCCTTCCCCCAGTGATTAGATGATATTAATTTTGTTCAAAGACAAACCTGAAACAATAATTCAGATTAATTAAAGTAACTCGAGGGGGGGAAACACGTTCCATTTTCCATGCTGTGCGTGAATTTAAAGTCCACAGCATCTTCAAACCCCCACTTAGCACTGAGGGAGCACACTCGGTCATCATCGTGACCGTTCCCTTTGCACTGAGAAAGCACGAAGCCTTTCTCCCCAGCTGAGGTGGGCTGCTGTCACCCACACTTTGCTTTCTTTCTGTGCAGAGCTGGCCCTTCTGGGCAGCATCCTAAACCTCAAAATAAGCCCTTCTGTCCATCACACCTTCGTGTTCATTCAAATTTCTGGTACCCAGAGTATCTGTTGTTCAGAAAGGGGTCTAAGAAATGGTGTATTCTTAGGCAGGGGCTCTTAACCTAGAGGAGGCCACAGGTGGGCTTCAGGTACTGCTGAACCCTGCACAATTACACGCAATTACTGCCCATCTGTGCACACGTCTATTGTCCTGGGGGGCCATCGCATCTTGAGGGGTAGGCACCTAAGCGGGGCATGATCAGAGAACGGCAGCCTCTGAAAGGCCAGCCCTGCTGAGACACTGCACCTTTAAGAAGCAGCTACAAGTGCTCCGGAGACGTGGGCCTCACAGACTCGCGCCATTTCCCAAATCCCAATAAGCATGTTCTCTGTAGCTCCCTCCTCCACACATGAAATAAGCACAAAGCTACGAGCACTAAGCAGCACTCAAGTCCTAGAGTGCACCCCGAATGACGTTTTTCCACTATTTGCTTCTGCCCTGAGAGGACAGGGGCTGGATCCAGACTTCACTGGTGCAAGGGAGACTCAGGACATAGCATTCCAAGCAGTTTCCCAGTCAGTCACCTCGCGCACGAAGACGTGCCCGTTCTCTCCAACCAGTCAGCCTTCCCGCTACCGAGAACTCAAATTCACTACCAAAACGGATCACAAACTGATTGTACGAAGATCAGAAATTGATTGAGCAGCTTCATTTGCCCTGAGAAAAATTTAGAGACTTTTTTCAAAATCAATTTAACTATTTATGTCACTAGAGATCCTAAATAGTATATAATGCTTGTCTGTCTACCGCCCCCCAAATATTGGGTCTTCAGAAAAGTCATGACGCATGTTTGCGACAAATGGCACTAGTTCATTTTTGGAAGTACTAGAGTCATTCGTATCTATGTTATTGCTACATCATTTGACAGCCGACAGTTCTAGCTTCATTCTAAAAAAAAATTGAGTGATTTGGTTGAATTTTGGAGATTTTACAAGTTGAAGATGGAAGACCAAACTGTGCATTTTTGCCATATTTTACTGTTTTACTTCCATAAAGGGAAGAACGCATGCCAAGCTTGTGAAAAGTTGCATCAAGTTTACGGTGACAATGCTTTACAAGAACGTCTGTGCCAATGATGGTTCACAAAATTCCGTGCTGGTGATTTTGATCTCAATGATACTCCTCGGTCAGGGAGGCCCACCGAGGTTGATGACGACAAAATAAAGGCATTAATCGAGTCAAACCCATGTTACACGACACCAGAGATTGCAGAAGCATTGAACATCCATCATTCAAGCATTCATGACCACCTGAAGAAGCTGGGATACGTAAGCAAGCTCGATATTTGGGTTCCGCATGAACTCAAAGAAGGTCATTTGACGGCGCGAATAAACATCTGCAATATGCTTACTAAAAGTGAGGAAAACGATCCTTTTTTGAAGCAACTGATAACTGGTGATGAGAAGTGGATTGTTTACAACAGTGTGGTGCACAAACAGTCTTGGTCCCAACGTGATGATTCGCCTCAAACGACATCGAAAGCAGACATTCATCAGAGGAAGGTTATGCTCTCAGTGTGGTGGGATTTTAAAGGTGTCGTGTTTTTCAAGCTCCTACCAAGGAACCAAACAATCAATTTGAATGTGTACCGTCAGCAATTGGACAGTTTGAACGAATCCATCATCCAGAAACGTCCAGAGCTCGTTAATCGTAAAGGAGTTGTGTTCCATTGCAACAACGCGAGACCACACACAAGTTTGATCACCCGTCAAAAATTCTTGGAGCTTGGATGGGATGTGTTGCCACACCCACCATACTCACCTGACCTTGTGCCGTCAGACTTCCACTTGCTTCGTTCTCTTCAAAACTCCTTGAGTGATATAATGTTCAATTCAGATGAGGCTGTGAATCAGCACCTTGTTCAGTGTTTTGCAAATAAAGACAGGTCCTTCTATGAACGAGGAATTATGAAGCTCACTGAAAGATGGCAAAAGGTTATCAAACAAAACGGGCAATATATCATTGATTGATCTTTGTTCTTTACATAAATAACTGACCTTTGAAAAACAGATAAAATACGTCATGACTTTTCTGAAGACCCAATAATAAAGCCTATCTCAGAGCTGCGCAGACAAAATAAGAAAACGCGTCCAGACGCTCCGGGAAGAGGGCCTCCCGCTGATTCAGGAGCATGGCCGTCTGTGTAAGGCTCCCCTGGCTACTCCAACGGCCTGCCCATCACTCCATGAGCATACTGCTCCATAGCTACACTCAGGCCTGCGCTATATGGCTAGAACTGGATGCGCTATCTCGATTGCTTCTCCCAGACCAGGCCCCGCCAGTCAGGCCAGTCAGATAAATGGCCAATGTCTGTCCTCCCCAACCTAAGAGACCTACGTTGATCTCTTAAGCAAAATGCCTCGCTCTGATACACGTATGATGCCAAATTCATATAAAACCTACTGCATTGATAGCATTCCATGGGTTTAACTCCAATTTGCATGTCCTGACTTAAACTCCTAAGCACTGTGCTTGTAAGCTGTCCATTAACCCTGATGAGGCACTTTGGTATTAAAATGAGAGCTACATCAGTTTCGCTGTCTAAGGTAACAGCTACCCCCAAACTTTCGTTTTTGTTTTGAATAAAAATCTTTCCAGCATGCAGTTGCTCTCTCTTCCACTGCTACCCACAGGCACTGCCCTCAGTTCCCCTTTTCTGTTATCCCCTGAACGCCTCTAAGAACCCAGCTCTCAACCATGTGACCACGTTGCTCCCACTTTTCATCCTCTCACACCACAGTGCTCTCCGAAGTCACCAACTAGGCCTTTGGGAAGTCAGACAGCCATTTCCTGACTTCAAATTGGGACCACTTTGGCTAATCTCTACCATTGTCTCGCTTCTTCTCTGTTTCATTGTATTATTATTAATTATTATTATTATTATTATTATTATTATTATTCCTTTCTACTTTCTCTCCTCCCGTTTTCTACAGCTCTGCACACGCTTGTCAGCATTTGGAGTTTAGCATTCCTGGACGTTTCGGAGGCGCTGGGCCCAGGAACCCTTTCTGCTTCCTCACTGCATCTCCAAAGCCTTGGCAAGGTATGGCACATCACGTGTGCCTAACAAATATTTGCTAAATATTTGGAGACAAGATAAAAGCTAATTTCCCATTGTGTGAAGCTCCCAAGACCAGTACATCTAATTTTCACTTTCTGCCTCACTGACTCATGCCGTCCGTCCACCTCAGAGTTACCTAAATCAGGTCTAATATTTTCCCAACTTGTTATGTACCACTAACAACTCTTATCATGCACACACATGCCTCAGCCATTTGGCTGTTCCTACAAGCGAGGTGAAATGCAGCTCCTCATTTCTTTGTAGAATCTCTCTCGGAAAGCCAAACACGGTGCTAACAGCACCAGCCACATCACCTGCTTTCCTCTGGGAGCAGACAGCGGTCAACTCAGCCGTGCCTGCGCCTAGAGAAATGGGTAGCAAAGGGACGGCTTCTGCACTTCCTGCATTTTACCCATTATCGATTCCAATGGATTTGCCATTAGAAAGGTTATCATCTGGGAATAAAATAGGCTCAAATGGAAAAGTCATCCTCAAGATGTAGTCAAGGGAAGAAGCAGTATGTTCTCGATGCCACCATTTCTTTAAAACATGGAGGGGCAGAGATATACAACGTATTTGCATGTCTGTGTGTGTTATTTCCCTGCAGAAATGGAAAAAATAAGAGCGTTGGTTGCCTGTATAAAAGGCAACTACCGAACTGGGGAACAGAGCTGAGAAAGCAGACTTCCATATATTTAAGTTCTGAACCATTATAATGTAGCACCTACTCAAAAAGATTTAAATTGGAGAGTAAGAAATGGAATTTGCTTGGGGATCAAGGTGAGTCATACACTCCACCCCCTGGTGGTGGAGTCAAGGGAACTAGCACCCCAGAGAACTCAACTCCTTGGCAAAACCCATGATTCGCCAGTGGCAGCGCTAGGAGTGATTTTCAATGTGTAATTCAAGGCTCTCTCCTCACCGGGCATGCTTCCGTGCCTCCCAAGGTCATGGCTTCTGAGACAAGACCCCAGGCTCTGCCTTGTGCCCAGCGTGAAGACAGCAGATGAGCCTGGACTTTATCAACAGCATTCTATCCCAACTGCAAGCCTAAGCCTGTTTAGGCTCTTTCAATATAAAATATGCTCAACTGAGAGCCAAGCCAAGTGCACTATGTGTCAAAAGCAGGAGTAGTTTCAATGAGACAATTATGGTCCAAAACGACATTATTCGAAGACCTGCTGTAGCACAAACAATGAGAATGAGAATAACTCTACTGCTGCTATACATGGTGACACAGCGAATCTCACATACTGACCAAAAGAGGTTAGACCTAAGAAAACATTTGTATGGTCTCATCTTATAAAGCTCAACAAATGGGCAAAAGTAATCTAGGTTGTCAGACATCAGGACAGTGGTTCGTCTCAGGAGGGTACTGACTGCATAGAGCATCATGGGGACTTCTGGGGTCTGCGAATCTCGCCTTCCTTAGAGAATGACACTGATTGGTCACTCTCTAAACAGCCTGTAACTTTCAGACCCTGACCCTAGAATTCTGTTTCAACTGGATGGTGACTCTATAGACACATAAGGTTTTCTTCTGTAACAATTTTAACATACTGTGGTTTTGTTACATTTAAATAATGCGTGTAGCATTTGACTATACATCAGCCTGAGTTTAAAGTCTTTCTTTAGAAATAAAAATGTACTGGTAATAAAAGCAAATATTTGGAAAAAAAACAAAAAAAAACAAACTTCAACCCAGTAAAAAGATGGGAAGACACCAGGCCCAGGCGCTTCCCGCAGCAGACCGGTGGCATTCAGACATAAACCCCTGCTAGCACAGAACTGCGAGCTAAAAGTCCAAGTGAGATAACAGGGCACACACCAGAATGGCTAACCTACGAAGGACACACGACCTCAGTGCTGCGGACACTCCCGAGCACACGGAATGCCCAGACGCTGCTGGTAGGACAGTGAACTGTACAGTCACTCGAGAAAACTCTGGCATGTCCATCACGACCCGGAAGTGCACAGCATCCGCAGCAGCTCTTACCCGAAACGGCCCCAAACCGGAAACTACCCAGACACCTACAGCAGAAAGGGTGGCCTGAACAACAGTGTGACGGTATAACAGGATGCCACACCGCTATGAAAATGAACACCTCTGCTATGTAACAGGGATAATCCCATAAAAACAAATGTAAAATGAAGGAAGTCAGAGACAAATGGGCACATACTCCGAATCCAATTCAGTTCAGAAACAGGTCACACTAACCCCTGGTGTCAGAAGAAGGTTGTTGCGGGGGGGGGTGGTGCAGCAGTAACTGGAGGAAATCACAGGGGACAGGGACTCCTAAGGAAAGACTCACGTGCCAGGTGCTGGTTCATATGAAGCTTCACGTAAAACCCACACTTTTCTGTACAGACGTGCAAATCAAAGTAACCAAACACATCCCTGGCTTATCTTGACAAGCCCTAAGCATTGGTGACGATGACATGACACGGGGTGCCTGGCTCTGTGCCGTGCCCAGCCAGCTGTGAGCAGCGGGCACCTCTGCATCAGGGGTCTGACCCTGACAGTTGAAATTGACTTCTGAATTGAGAGCAGTCTGTCCATGCAGTTCATCAGACTACACAAATTCTCACTTTTGGTCCACTACACCAGTGTCCACCTATGCCGAGATGTCAGGGGCAGGCCCCTCCCAGGGGGCGCCATCTCCGTTCCCCACCTGCCCTCTCTTAGAGGGGGGGAGCCCTGTCGCAGGCGCCGGCTCCCAACCCTGACCACAGAGTGGCATCACCAGGAGCTTTAAAAGCAGTGATGCCTGGGTCCCACCCACCTCACAGGCTCAGATGTCATGGGAACCTGGTGGCCAGGTCACAGGGATCTTTCAAAACTCCCAGGTGATCCCCAAGTGAGCACCAAGGGTGCACACAGGCGCCACGGCCTTGCTGTAAGATGCACAGCAAGTTCCAGGACTTAGACAGCTTTGCAAACGCTGCCTATTCCTTGCACCGTCACTGTCTTCACACACAGAGACAACGTACAGACCCTGATAGCTAATAAAGTTACAAAACAATGGAGCTGACGCTAGCTAGTGAAGGCTTACACGTCAGTGTGCTCTCCCAGGACAGGTTTTGTGCCAAAGACCATGGTTTAGAACCCATAACTCACTGATTCCAGGATCACAAATCTTTAGAATTTAAGTGTATAATCACACTTTCCTCAAAATAATAAATACTTCAAGTTGCTGCCTACCTAAACAAGTTCACTTATAGACAGTGAAGGGCGCTGCTTAATGAAGAACTCTCTGCATCCTTGGTGCCCGATATTGGTAGAAACTTACGATTTTGCGCAGAACCCATCTCCCCTTAATTGTTACCTACCAATAGTGTCTAGTTTTGCCGCTGAAGCAAATGAGTCACCTTAAAACCGGAGGGCGCCCCATCTCTGGCTGCCTTCTAAGAGATTAAAGTTCCACCATTCTTAACCCATCCTACTACCCCCTCCCCTAGGAGGGAAGAGTATAGAGTTCCTAATTTATCCAAGAAAATCTAAAATGGCCTAAACTGGTAATCTGAGCAACAAAGGACTTGTTTATCCATTTGGCTCAAGGTCTGCCTGTCTCGGCTCTCTGGAAATGAACTATAACAAATATCCCTCCAACAGAAAACAGGAACTTCGCAGGCAGCCAACTAAAGGGTGCAAGCTAGGGAGAAAACTTTCATAGCATTCAACTGGAAAAAAACAGATGAAAGCCATACGATCCCAAAATGTGGTTCCCATCAAGGTCACATTACGGCTTATTAAGAGCAAACTGAAGTAACTATGACAAAGGAGAAACCCCACCTCACTCGTCTTCACACCCCGAGGGTCATGCCAGGCGCGAAGGGCTCAGTGAGTGCTCCCCATCCACTCACAGTCGAGGCTTCTTCCTTCTTTACTTCTGTCCTGGGCTAATTATTACTTCAAGAACTGTTTGGAGTACGCCTGCTCCTGATCCTTTCTCGAGGTTTCTGTTGCGACTTCGTCTTCTCTGGCGAGCAGAGACGTCAGTGTCTGTTGTCTGCTGCCATGAAGAGCGCCTGCCAGGCAGGGCCACACCAGCCCGAGCAGCCAGGGCAGAGCCCCGTCTCTGTTGCTGAGCTTGGTCTCCCCAGCCCCTAGCGGAGCGCCCACCTACCACCAAGTGCGTTAAATTATTTGTTGAATAAACAAATTAACCCATATATAGGGCTTCGTATTTATCAAGGCAGAGCAACAAAACGCACACTTTGGACTCAAATGTAGATTCAAACCCCAATTCTGACACTTACTAGCTGAGCGGACCTCTGAGCCGCATTTCCCCACCTGTAAAAATCCCCACCTCCCGTCCATGTGTTTCTTAGAAATAAAGTTTGTGGTGGGAGACATAAAAAAACAAAATGACTTCATATTATGAGAAACGTTCCTAAGAGAGCAAACCGATAGAGCCAGGGTCCTCCAATGTCCGGGTCTCAGGGCCCCTTTACATTCTTAAACAGCACTGAGGACCCAAAAGACCGTAAGGCTATAGAGGTTCTATCTATTGACATTTGTTTGCCCTATTAGAAATTAAAACTGAGATTTAAAAAATATAATTTCATAAAAAAATAAACCTATCATTTCACATTTTATTAAAAATAAAATCTTCCAAACACTAGTAGGAAACATTTTCACTTTGACAAAGCTTTTTAATGTCTGGCTTGGTACACAACAGGTGGACCCTCGCATCTGCTTCTGCGTCTCTGCTGTCAAGTGTCTTCTGAGCGACACCTGTGGGGTGACAGTTTGGTGCCACCGCTCCCGGGTCTGTGCCGAGGCCCCAGCGGTTTCCTCCTGGCTGCTTCCGCATGAGTGCAAATGCTGACCAAGTGGAAAAGCGGGCAGTCTAGTATCGCCATGAACACCCCTGACGCGTCTGGGAACTCGGAACCGCGGAGCGCCCGGCGTCCAGTGGGCAGTTCCTCTCAGACAGGTTTGGGGACGTCTCTCTAGGAAGCTGACCACTGGGACCCGCAGCGCGGGCGGAGGGCGTCCTCAGCACAGGGGGCAGGAGGGCCCTGCCAGCATCCAGGGCCACCAAGCGGCCCACGCTGGAGCAGGAGGGGCCGCGACAGAGGCGGGGCCGGAGCCTGCGGTTTCACGCGCAAGGGGCGGGGGTCCACGGGCGAGGCTTGCCCAGCGCCGGCCATCCGCCGGGCATTCTGCAGAGGCCCTTCAGGCCGACGACAAGGCGGCGCGACCAGCGAGAGGGCGGGGACGGAAGCCCACCCGACGGCCAGGTGGTGCTGCCATCGCGCAGGGACAGAGGCGGGCGAGGAAAACACGCTTTGGAGTTTGAAGACACGAGGCCTGACTATGAAACGCTCGGGGAGGAGGGGAAGGAGGAACGGTCTTGGGCGCGGGGCTCGGCCACACCGGGTGAACGGGGGTGCCACCTGGCAGGACCCCGCGTCCTTCCCGCCCCTCCTCCCGACAGGGGCGCAGGGCCGGGGTCCGCACGCCGAGCTGCGCCCCGCGCACGTGCCCGCCGGCTGCGCCCTCTCGCCAGACGCCGCGGCGGGTTCTTCCTGGACGCCTTCGAAGGCGGGGTTCACGGGGCCCCCCCGGCCCGGCCCCGGCC